ATGGACATTATTTATGTAAAAAGCCATTTATTGGACATGATTTATGTAACTGGTCATTTATTGGACATAATTTATGTAAATGGTCATTTATTGGGCATAAGTTATATAACTATACATTTATTTTGACAAAGTTTATATTTATTTGTAATTATTTTATATTTTTGACCCGTTATTAGGCTATGATATTGGTTACTGTCCTTAATTTTGACCCTTTTGTTTGAAACTGACCATTTATTTTACAAAGTGTCTACGCGCCGGACGTGTAGTGCGCAAGATACACGTCCGGCGACTTGTCACGTGACCGCCGGACATGGCCGGACGGCTAGTAGTTTTTATAATTCCAAACGAAATACGATTTAGTACATCTTGTCTGGTCTTGTGGTAGAGTGGTTGCTTGACGATAGGAATGTTTGAGGATCTATACCGGGGATAGGGTCGCTTTTTTTTCTTCCCATTTTAATTAAAATATTTTGTATATATTTATATTATCATGTTCCTCAGCAACAGTAGTTTCATGAGAAGTTTTTAAATATTTTGTAGCAATTGAAATAATTTAAAATGAAATCTTTAACTTTTATTGGTTGCCACACTGGCCCCTAATTTATTTTATGGATTACTGGTACACAAAAAATAACAAACTAAACAAAAATGTTTACAAGCCACTTTCACTTAAGTTTCTTTTTCTATTATTTGCATTCAAGATACTCAGTACATTACTTGGTAGAGAAATAGATTTTAAAATTAACAATAGTTTTGAATTATTCGCAGTCACGTGACAAGGCTGACCGACACGATATCTCTCGCCACTTTGTTACGGCGGTCATGTGACTTGGTCGCCGGACACATAGTGCGGGAGATAGACGTCCGGCGCGCCGGACGTGTAGACACTGCCTTTATTTTACCTTATAAAACTGAACATTTATTTTACTTTATAAAACTGACCATTTATTTTACCTTATAAAACTGACCATTTATTTTAGCTTATAAAAACTGACCCTTTAATTTACCTTATAAAACTGACATTTATTTTACCTTATAAAACTGACCATTTGTTTTACCTTATAAAACTGAGCCTTTTTTGGTCTTGAGGGAAGGAGGTGAGTTAGACAAAAAATTGGTGGTTTCTACAATTTCCTTCCTGATAAAATTGTGTACTATAAATAACCCATTAAAATAAGTGACCAAGCTGAGTAATAATTGTAATACACTTCGTCTTGCAGGTGACAAAATACAAATGGGAAAATTGAACACTTTTACATTTCAACAAACTCAAGAAATTATTGAGAAGTTGACCAACAGTGGACTGGAATCTCGTTTGGTAAATTTCTTTTGAAAACTAGTAATATATGTATTTTTGTTCTTGCACTTTCACAATCTGCAAACAACTTGGCAAATCACTGGTAGTGTTCTAGTAACTAATGAATTATTACTCACAAAAACTCCCCCCAAAATTATTTAGGCTGTTTGGAGACAGCCTGTCATTTGTTGGCTCTACATAATGCATTTACTGATAATGTATTTACCAAATAACCTAAAACAGTAAGACTATCTGTAATGCTGCACTGATTTCCAAAACCTATCATTAGGATAGTAAAAGGGAATAATATTTTAAGTTAACACATCTTTTCATCTGATGGAATTTATTGTTCATTTTGAAGTTGTTTTTTTGTTTAGAAACTAACTATTGCTTACTGAGTGAAAAACCAGTTTATTTTATCCTCACACCAACAGAGTGTACAGTGCAGCAGTGAGGATGTAAGTCGTAGTAGTTCTATGAATGATCTAACCATGGTCAGCTCCTCTTCTTTCAAAACATATGACCAAAAGTAAGTATATCTTTTAATTACATATTTTTCTCGAGAAAATAACCTTCTGCCTTCTATGTTTGTGCAACTATTCTGTCAACTCCCACTTGTTTTTTTGTGTTTTTTTTTGAATGAGTTACACCCTTTGATGAGTGACTTCCATTTGAATGCTAGCATGATCTGAGTTTTTATTTTGCTCTTCTAAATTTTCAGGGAGGGGGGATGGTGTTGGTGGTGAAGGTGTTGGTGGTAAGGGAAGTGAAGGGGAGAGACATTTGTAGCGCAGCTCAATAAATTATATTTTAAAAAAATTGTATCATTTAACTTTTCTATTTTTGTTAAAGCAACAAACTATCTGACATGTCATCATTTATTACAGTTACACTATTAGCCTTGTAATCGTGCACTGAAAAAAATTCTAAGCAGCTCTAATATTCATAATCATTCTAAATTTTTATCACTCTCTAATTTACTATGTATATAAATTATATAAATCACTTTACAAACTTTAAAATATCAATATACTTTTAATGTCTTAAATAATAAAAATAGTAAAACATAAATATAGGCTCACAACATTTTTTATTTTATTTATCACTCACTCATATAAAATTATAACAAGATTATTATTTTTTTTTTAACACTGCGCTGTGACCAGATTTTTAAAAAAATCTATAGTTAAAAAAATATACATTTTCAAAAACTTTCCCTTTATTTCATTTGACTTGACCTTGTTGATAATCCAAATAATGAACAAAGAAAATAAGCTACACATTTAAAATATCCTAATTAGCTTTCTTTAATGAAACACTTGAAAGCTTATTTAAAAAATAAGTTGCTATTGAAGCTATTTCATGCAGTAATAAAATGGAGATCTTTAGTCATCATAAATCTACAAAAAAGAAGTAGGTGAGTTCTATTATGAAAAAGTCAAATTTAAAATGCCTAGTCTAATGTTTACCTATCTCGCTGGCAGCGCGGAAGCCGCACGTATCTGGTAAGTGGAATAAATTTCTCCTAGAACCAGTTCAGAAAATTTGGTTTTATTTTTTATATCCCATTTAAAAAAAAATTATTTCATGGCTCGATATATTTTGACATTGTTCAGCATTTCAACATTTTTTGGTGTTTTTTTTTTGTATCTCTTGTTTCTCAATTTTATTCTTTTTTTTAAGCTTTGGAAATTCTATTTAAATTTATTGTTTAATTGGATTAATTCTATGCTATATGCTTTGTGAGTATCCGATTCTGAAAATTTGACAAAATAAATCAAGGTTGTTAGTTAAAGTTACATCCTTAAAAAAAAAAAAAAAAAAAAAAAAAGTTGTTAGTTAAAGTTACAACCTTAAAAAAAAAAAAAAAAAAAAAAAAAGTGAACATTATTCCTTAATTTCTTGGCTTGAACTTCAGTGACTTGAAATTTTAGTCAAAAGAAAGTAAATCCTTTAAAAGTTGAAATTTACCCAGACATCAAACATCCTCAAATTTTTTAATGTAACAACTAGTTATCCAGGAACAGTATTTTATATCCCCTTTAGAGACACAACTGCAAGAAGAAGTTCCATGGCCTGTAGTTTTTAGGAGCTCTCCAGACAAATTATGTAGAATAGCAAATTATGTAGATAACAATTAAAAAACAATTATTTGACCAAAATCTGCAAAGAAATCATTGAAAAGCTGTAAAAAAAACAACAACACACACACCCCCCTCCCCCCAAATGTTCCAAATGACCCCATGCTACTTGAATAAAAGAAACCTCAACATTTGTTATCGAAGGGTGTTCGTTTTTTAAAAATTCATGTAGGTAAGCAGCTCTTGGCTATCTTCCAATGCTAACACATTCTATACCCTCAAAATGCTTTCTCTGGCTTAGGTGCTTGTAGCAACTAAATGTATATAATTGTGATCTAATGGTGCACACTTAATCCCTGGAAGCCCATATTCCATGATAATGCCTTGCCAGTTTGGCCCATGAAGTGCCACTCTGACTGCTATATTTCTGCACTGTTGTTAGTATACTTAAATCAGGGTATTAGATCTAATTCTAATTTGGTTTTGTCAAAGCTAACTGGCACACCAACAGCAATAGATGTATATTGATTTACTTGTCTTGATTTTTTCTTGTTTTTCTTTTGTTGAATTTCTTTTTGAAAACATACATTTTTCTTTTATTTTATATTTTCTTTTTAACATCTGTAAATAGACATAGAAGCTTTAAATTATTTTTTTAATAGAAATTGAAGATAAATTATTGTATTTTTTGTTACTTTGTCTCATACTTGACTTTTTAAAAATTATTAAAGTAATAATAAACTCAAATTTTGTTTAAGATCCAATATAAGATTAATTTTTCTTACTGATTAACTGAAACCTCATCAAAGGCAATAATTTGCTATGGATTAGATATAATTTAATGTTTTCAACTGAATGGGTGGGTTGAGATGATAAAAATAGGCCAGTCCCTGACCAAAGGCTGTGGTGGTCTGTGGTGAGCTATGGTAGGTTTTGTATTGATTATTGGACCAATCTTTGTTGACTGAAGATGTCAATAACCCGTTTGTGAACAACTCAGATTTGTAACCAACTTGTAAAGATATAATCGGTGTAGGACCATTGGATTGCTAGGGTTATCAGTGTGGGCACAGTTATTCACAGGTGTAGTTGGTGAAGGTAAATTTTACGACAGGTGTATATAGTGAAGGTAAATTATGTCATGACAGGTGCATTTAGTGAAGTTAAATTTCATGCCAGGTTTAGTTATGTGTCTTGGTATGGTGCTGAGAGTGTAGTTAAAGGTAATGAAGTGTGAAGTTATTGACCACTCAGGTCACTACATATGTATTTGTTTCTGTTGCAGCTAATGTCATGCCATGTATAATTGATTAGTGTAGCTTACCAACGATTACATGTCTAGTTGTGCCATTGTATTATAAGTATTATATTATAAATATTTAATTCAATGGTGTGACATGTAGAAAGAGAGACACTATTCATGTATTATTTAATTTATTGGTCAATAGTAAAATTGTATGTAAAAACAGATAAAAAAAGAGTGACAGAAATGTTGGCAAAAGCTTTTAATGTTAACTTAACTTTGAGCAAATGCTTGTATTCTCAATGTAAGAAAATTATAAGAAGTGATTGGCACTGAAAAGTAAATTATTTTATTCTTCTGTCTTTTCCTCATTATGTAGCCATGCTCTTGAAAACCAGTACAAAAATGAGAGTGACCGAATTGATGCTGCCAGGTAGGCTGTTAGGTTATTTTTTTATGCTAATCCATTTATTGCTTAAAATATTTGTATACTGTTTATAAGTTTTACAATCAGAGATGAAACATTAATAAATTTACTTTAGTGTATTTTATTATTTTATGAAATGCATAAAAGAATTCTTTTAAGAACTTTAATTTTAAATAATTCCCAAGTTGGTGGTTATAGATTTGCATGACCAGGGTAAGAATCAGAACATGAGGCTCTCTTCAGATGTTGGAATATTCCTTAATGCCAATCCGTAGATCAATATATTAATAATCAGAAGGAAATGGTCTCAATTAATTTTGTGTGCGCTGGATCAAGAAATATCATTAATTTCTCATGAAGTGTTTGGTTATTGATTCTCTGCTTCCCCTGGAAGTATCAGCAAGTAGCTAAACAGTTTATGTTTACAAATGGGGGCTGTTTTTTTTGGCTCAGATCAAGCCCAAAAACACTTTGGCCTATATAATAAATAGCCCTGGAGAGTTAACAATATCAATTCGCCTTTTTTATTTTTTTTGCCAATTTTTACATTTTTATAATTCATATTGACAAAGTGGAACGATGAGATATACATTTTTTTTTATAATGCCAAAATGGTTCAGTTAAGGGGAAAGTAGTCACTACGCAAAGGAAGTCTGTGCAGAAAATATTTTTAAAAATAATAAAACATATTTAAGTTTTGTCTACATTCATTTCGAATCCTTTGGCTTCTTAGAGTGGTCATTTACACTTCTGAACAGTCTCTCTTTTCAAAATAATAACTTATTTTCTACACTTCAGTCTGTTTAAACTCATTTTTAAAATAAAGTCTTTTTAAAAAGATTTTAACATATATTTTTATTTAAAGCTTTAAGAGTACAATAAGTTAGACCCTAACGACTCACCTAAAGTGCCATTGCCATGCTTCATCACAGTATATATAGTGTATTATTATAATAATTTTTTTGGCACATTGCTGGTTGCTCCTGTTAGTGTTTTAGAGCCATGACATTAAACAAGGGACAATCATGTTAGAGAAAGAAAATAAATAGCTATGCTGTGAAGATCACAATGAAATGAAGCACAAGCTTGCGCATGTGGCATTGATTCCATCGATCTGATTTCTCATTATCATTGATTCATCCTTTAGTATTGAGTCTTGCTCTCCACTCTTTGGTTGGCCACATCAACTGCTTGTTGCAATGAGCAGGTCATGTGCTTTTTTTATGCTTCACTAGTTGGGAGATTTAATATTTCCCAGGGTGATGAAATTATAGTAGCCAATTTATTGAAATCTGTGGGAGGCATTTGTGTCTATATTGTTTTAGTTTGTAAGGATTTTTTAAAATGTTGGGTGTTAGAATATCGTGAAATGTACTGAACAGACCTTTAAGTTTTCAAATTTAAACATAAATTCATTTGTGATAATATCAGCAGGGAGTTGATACTTCCATGCTATCTTTTATAAAAGATTATAAATGTGGAGGAATATCTTTTCTGGCAAACTTGTGTCTTAGAATATATATACCACTCCATCTTGGTTTACAAATTTTTTTAAAGCAAGTTACTTAACAAAGTTGTTGCTTCATTGTTTATCAAGGAGCATGATGTCACAGAATCTCTAATTTTGTAGTAAAATAATTTTATACTAAATTCTTGAGTATTCGGCACATTGTAAGACTGCCTAACAAATCCTGACTTAATAATGACGTAGCCCTGCTTGTCTTGTTTCATTAAGTATAAAAAAAAGAAAGCATTAAATATTTAAATATTACGGATGTCATTTGAAAAAGAAATAACAGTTATAAAAGAAATGTTCAACATTTGATTTTTAATTATTTTATTTTAATGAAGGAGAGAAGTGGAGAAGCTGGAAAGAGAGATGAAAATGAGAAAAGAAGAATTAGATGAAAGAGAAGAGAAAATGCTGGCCCAGCACGAAAAGACCAAACATGAGCTGCAAGAAGAGAGGACGGTTTTGAAAACCAGACAAGAGGAAGCCTCACAGATACTAGAGAAACAGCAGAGAAAGATTGACGAGCAGACGAGGAAGCTAAATGAAGAAAGGGAAAAATGTAAAAAATTAATATAAACAAATATCAATTTTTATTGTTAAAATCCAAGCAGTTTTACTGATTCCTTTTCAGACTTTTAAAGATTCGTTTGCAAATATTTTAACTCTTTTTATAGATCGCATTAATGGAAAATTATATTTGAAAATGCTGCATAAAAAATGAAAACTTAAATAAAGAAAAATTAGTCTTAAATTTGGAAATAATCAAAATAATAAAGCCAATTATTTTTAGGACTATTACTGCTATCTCTGTTTTTTTTCCCCCCAAGCTTGCAGAATTCCATTGGAATAAAAAATTTTGAAATTTTGATCCATTCACCAACTAATATTTTTGTGATCAGAATACTTTGCTTCCAGTTCTAGCATTCAGTTTTTATTTCTCAGGATTCCAGTCTTAAAAAATTTTTTGACTTCTTTTCCAAGTTTTTTCTTAAACTCATTTTCAGTTAAAAGACAACTCCAAGAGGAGGTGCAGACCGTGAAAGCCATGTCATACAGCGCCATAGCCGGTCCTGGGGACGATGCACTGGAACAGCTGATTGGTCAAACTGATGATTGGACATTGCTAAGTGGCCAGTTCATTGACCCTGGCTTACAGGAAGGAACGGAAGCTGCACCAAAAGCTTCAGTGGTCAATAAGCTGATTTGTGTACGCAAGACTTCAGCTCAAGGAATGTATAAAGGTAAGAGTATACGTAAACACAAAGGCGTAAACCGTAAGGTGCTAAATAAGTATAAGCATATCAAAAAAGTGGAATTTCGAACTGGGGAATTGAGGTTGTATAATATTACTTAACCCCCCCCCTCCCCCCCCCCCCCCCCCCCCCCCNGCCCCGGACATAAATAAATACAAATACCAACTCATATTTTAAAAATTGTGACTTCATAAAAAATTTTTTTTCCTCCAATGTTTTAAGTGTATTCTTGTGTAAAAAAATATGAATATTAGAATCCTAATACTTCTTGTCAAATAGCTTATTTATTTTAAACCAAAAAAAGTATGAATGTCATGAAGGGGCATGATCCCCATGTGTCATGTGACTGATGTTGTTTTGTGTTCAGACATAGCTCAGAAAGAGTTGCTGCACACTATTGACTGCCGGGACCAGAAGAAACAGCTATCGGAGGAAGGCCAGAAGGTCAAGGCGGACTACAAGAAGATCAGGAAAGATCTGAGCAGAAAAGAGGCGGAGATCAGCCACAAAGAGGCGGAAGTCAGACAGCTTAATGCTGTGGAGGTGTACTCCTTTCAGAAAGAGGTTATCTTTGTGTTCATATTATAATTGTGTGTAAATTAAATCAAAGTATTGGGTACAACAGTTGTTCACATGTTGAGTCTCCCTCCCTCCCTGCATGTAGGAGTTTCTTAGGTGAAACTTTTTTTTGTTTGAATATGTTTAAACTGAAATAATTATGAACCCTCAGTTGAAACATAATACATTTGACATCATGTGCAAGTGCATATTGTTTTTCACTGCCATTGTGTCTTGTACAAACACACAGAACCGGATGAGTTTGAAAAACAAATTCATCCAGTCTTACGGAACTTTGACAACACACAGCATGAATGTCATGTTCTCAACAAATTCTCCACCCCACCATATTATGAAAAATCGCAGTGGACTTTCTTTTCTTCTTTTCAGTCTAATTTAGCCTGTATTTAATCTCTCACCTGCTTATGTTCCTCATTATATTCCTCTTCCTGTCCTCTCAGATTCTACTTTGCAACTAAGTGTTTTAAAAAAAAAGTTACATGTTTTTGCTTTTGTTTCTTCACTGAAGAAGGCTTCTTGCCAACACTTTTGTTGCTTTTCTTGCTTACTTTTTTTTCAGGTTTTCCCATACTTTTTTTCACTCATTTCCGCTATTTACTCTGCCAGATTGCTGTTGTCAAACAAAAGGAAGCAGAGAAGGAGCAGCTAGAGCTCTACCTGGAAGAGAAGCAGGACCTGCTCAAAGTTGGCATGGACTCGCCCCGGCCCATTAGGGCGGCCACCAGCGACCTCATGCTCAACAAGACATCGGATGACCCCGGCTACCTCACAAGGACGGCCAGCCTGTACCACATGGATGACTCCAAGATATCCGGCCAAAATCTTCTTCACAAGAGCCTCGACAGCGATACTGACAGTGATGAGGAGCACTTTGGTGACAGCAATGATACGCTTGACACACAGGAGTACGGCTCTATGGATTTTGATCCCAGCAACGATGGAGCTGGATGTCAAGAGGACTTTGAAAATGAGCAGATGAATGAAGACCAGTATTGTGATGAGGAGGACGATGACTTTGATGAGGGCAGGGACGAAGAAGAATTCTGTATAGAAACAGATGCTGATTTAGAAAGCAGCCAAGAATCAGAGGAGGAAGGAAAAATGAGTGACACTGAGAGACAAGAAGATGTTGAAGAAATGAGTGGTGATGACAGGCAAGAAGATGCTGAAGATGACATGGCAACAGATTCGGGAGAAAATAAACTGAGCGAGAGAGTTACATTTTCAGAAATACCACCACCACCTAGGACATCTGCTACTCGGACATCAAGAGGACGGACAAGAGCTCACAGAGGGCGACCCAGCCATCTAGCCCTTCCAAGTTCTCCTTCCCCCAACAGGAGTTTGACAGAGGTAGCTGCCGCTGTGACAGCCAGGCTGTACAGGCCTCGGAAGCCAAGGCCTGATCTTGAGGGTAACTACCTCAGAGGCAGCAAGGACCGTATCAGCTCCCCGTCAACAAGCCCGGTAACAACCAAGAGATCAAAGGAATCCCCATTTAAATTTTTCTCATCTGGTTCTGATCTGTCCGACTCTGCAACACCAAAACGTGACTTTCTAAAGAAAGGCAGCAAGAAGCAAATGACCACACCAATAAATGAGCCATTGGAGATCACTGGGAGGAGGTCAAGGGACTCTCTTGATTCTGAACCAATGTTTGATTACCTCAAGAAAGGAACCCGTAAAATGTATCAAGCAGATGTAGAGCATGACCCCTGTCAGCCTGGGAATGAAGATATTACAATGCACGACTATCTCAGGAGAAGTTCTCGTGTTGAGGCTGCTTCCTCAGACAGGTTTCCGAATTTAAAGCAAGCTGATGATACTCCAAAGCATGACTATTTGAGGAAAGAACTCAGGACATACGTTGGCAGCCCACATGAGAAGGTAGCTAGATGTCATGAAATTGAAACAAAAGCTAGTAACAGAAGACAGGGCACAGATGATGTTGGAGGTGCCAGGTTTAAATCACGTGACACAGAAAGCACATTGTTACGTCATGATTCTGAGGGAAAAGAAAAGCTCTTTGACCCCCATGGAAGTCCACACCGAGAGATTGATAAACCAGGCCATGATAAGTCACCAAAGCACCAATCTAAGTCATCTAGCCATGAAAGAGTTAGAAAAGATCAACAGTCTCCTCAACATCAGAGGCACAAGAAACATAAAGATGATCTCAAAGGAAATGAAGAATACCCGTCAGAGTCCACCTCTCCAAAACAGCAGAAAGCTAATAGTTCAGTTTTGCCTGGAGCTTCTGCCTGGAGCAGGGAATCTCAAAGTCATGAAACTTTGAAAAGAAGCCGTAGACCACCAGGATCTCAAGAAATCATGTCCAGTTCTGATGACCTCCCAAAACACAAGTACCTTAAGAAAGCTGCAGGAAAAGCTTACATTGGACCTAGAGGCAAGGAACAAAAGTCAGACACCTTACCTCATAATAGACCACAGTTCTTCAAATCAATTGGTTTAAATAGAAGAAGTAAGGATCTGGGTCGAGCTGATGTAGGGAGTGATCAATCTAAGGTAATAAGCAGGAGCAAGAGTTATCCCAGTGAGCAGCAAGGTAACAGGAAGCATTCAAGGCCCTATCAAGCCCCTCTTAGCGGATCAGATGGTAAACTGCACATCTTAGGACTAAGTCCTATCAGGACAAGGTCAAGGACACGGTTAGTTTCAAGTATGACTTCTCTGGCCATTGTTCCAGAGCTGGCTTCAGAAGATGACGTCAGTGAGTCGCTTGGCGATAACAGGGCGAGCTTACCTGCCTCCAACACGAGCCTGGCCTCCCTCACGGCCTCGGTCAAAAGGAGAAGCCGGCAGAGCACCCCGAGTAGGGATGAATGGCGGAGACATTCGGAGCCCGAGGGAGAAGAGCTGGCCACAGCGCTAGCCAGATACACAGCTGATATTGAAGGTGGGATGAGTAGGGACAGGCTTGGAGCTCAACATGACTTCTGTGTGCACAGCACTGGGGATCTTAAACTTCCTTCGTCCCACCCAACGAGTTCATTACAGCAACATGACAACCAAGGAAACTCAGGAGATCAAGAGACCTCATATGGAGCTAATGTTCCATTGATCCAAGTGTCCTCTTATGACAATGACCATGACATGAATTCTCCGAGACGTGATACCACGGGGAGGCTCACTTTGTCAGACTCCCCACATTCTGGCAGTGAAGGCGGGGATTTAGACTTGTCACATGAGGATATGAGGGGCGGAAATACTTTGATTCCATGTGATCATCTCTTGAACATTCAGGTCAAAGGTCACTTTGTTAAAGACTCTAATGCTTCTTCAAGTTCAATGTCTGATGATTCTCTAGACATTTGTGACAGAAGTCTTTCACCATGTACTTATCAGGAATCAGTGCTACCACTGCAGTTCAGCAACCAAGATGGTGAGCTTTCAGGCATCAAGGTTGATAAGCTATCTCAGGAAAACTCACACATTGCAACTAGTGGTCAGGCTAGCTCCAGGGACAAACACAACATTGGCAGCTGGAATCCTTGCAACAAGTCTGACTCTGATGAAAGCTTTGAGTCAGATTCATTAAATGGAAGTGATTGTGAAATAGACAGCAATAGCATCAATGTCACTGGAGCACTGATTGGCAGCAATGAAGACAGGGCAGTTACAACCAGGGATGTGTCTGAGTCAGAGCAAGGCTTCCGTGCTTTAAGTAAAGATGTGTTAAGCGAGGGTAAGCACCAACCCAAATCTGATGCAGCCCCACACAGAGAAACAATTTCAACAGTCCCTGACTCAAAGCTTCACAGCTTAAACGATCGAGAAATCCAACCAAGTTCTTATCAGGGGAACACATCCCAGGTATCTGACAGGATATCTGATGATCATCGCATGATGAGTTCTAAAGATGATTCTGTCATTGTTGACCATGAAAAATATTGGCATGCTCTTTTGGAATCGGAAGGCAGTAGAAGCTTGGCTTACAATAGCAGTGCAAGTGCTGTTGGTGGGGATTTAACTGGCACAGAGGACAAAATAAATTTATGCAAAGAGTTTTCAGAACAACAAGGGCAGAGTGAGGAGCAGCAGCTTCATAGAACTAATGTATTAAATTCTCAGGGTCTTCCTATTTCATTATCAGCTGCGGGCATCACTTCTGGTCCTACAGGGGAAGATGGTATATCTGAACACACAGCCTCCACTATCATGTCTGGTACAACAGATGCTAATGTAATTGCTGATTCAAATGTCATAACTGGTTGCCAGACCCAAAGTCTAAGTGTTGAGGATGGTACGATGGATCAAAGTGTCATCAGGTCTGACAAAAGAGAACACAATGCACCAAATAAGAATTCCAAATCAAATCAAGGAATCAAACACAAACAACTGGGTTATGAAGGTGTAGATCTAAGTCATGAGACTCCAGGTCAATCTCAGATAGGTCAACGCAGTTCTGAGCCTGGGGCCAAGAAGAAAAGACTAGATGTTCAGACTGGTCATCCCACGAACAATCTTACGGGTAATCTATCTGGTGCTGGTGACGTTACCACTACATTACCACCTCAACCATCAACAGGATCAGCTGTAAGGGAGGGGAGTGAAACTGATGAAGTAACACAACTTGGCCAACATGATGTGGAAGACAGTTTTGCTCATCAACATTTGGGAGGATTGAACTTTGTCCAACAGTTAGATCACAGTCCTAGAAGACAACAGATTATGATTACAAAGTTAAATGATAATCAAGAAGTTGACCCAATGCAGCTTTCAAAGACCTCACATTCCAAATCTGATCCAACACAATTGTCAGAGACCTATCATTCCAGTTCTGATCTCACACAATTGTCAGAGACCTCTCATTCCAGTTCTGATCCAACACAATTGTCAGAGACCTATCATTCCAGTTCTGATCTCACACAATTGTCAGAGACCTCTCATTCCAGTTCTGATCCAACACAATTGTCAGAGACCTCTCATTCCAGATCTGGTCCAACACAATTGTCAGAGACCTCTCATTCCAGTTCTGATCTGAAACAATTGTCAGAGACCTCTCATTCCAGATCTGATCCAACACAATTGTCAGAGACCTCTCATTCCAGACCTGATCCAACACAATTGTCAGATTCTACAAATCTTTCAGAGGCCTCTTATCCTTGGTCTTATTCTACAAATCCGTCAGAGGCTGATCCAGAGTTAAATATTACAGAATCTGAAATGAATGAAATAAAGTCTTCTTTTCCAACCTTCAGAGATACTCCACTTACCAACAATGCAAGCAACGACGTCAAAGATCAAACTAATAAAAGTAAACAAGGAAAAAGGAAGAGGCCAGCCTCAGCAAAACAGCAAGTTGATGCCTCTGCGGTGCTTGAAGCTGATCATTCAATGACCACAGATTCAATTCATAGTGAAACAGGTGGTAGAGATGGCCACAGGCCTCACGTGATGGCTCAGGCAGGGAAAGGAGAAGATATCCAAGATACAACAAGTGATTCAAGCTTTGTGGATTCAAGTTTGAATGATTTGGTTTTTAATGAAGGTAAAAGGATCAAAATGCTCAATACAGACTTCACCCAACCTAAAGCTACTAGTGATGTGCCAGCAGGTGCTAAAAGTGATGTGCCAGCAGGTGCTAAAAGTGATGTGCCAGCAGGTGCTACAAGTGATGTGCCAGCAGGTGCTACAAGTGATGTGCCAGCAGGTGCTACAAGTGATGTGCCAGCAGGTGCTACAAGTGATGTGCCAGCAGGTGCTACAAGTGATGTGCCAGCAGGTGCTACAAGCAATGTGCCAGCAGGTGCTACAAGTGATGTGCCAACAGGTGCTACAAGTGATATGCCAACAGGTTCTACAAGTGATATGCCAGCAGGTGCTACAAGCAATGTGCCAGCAGGTGCTACAAGCAATGTGCCAGCAGGTGCTACAAGTGATGTGCCAGCAGGTGCTACACGTGATGTGCCAGCAGGTGCTACAAGCAATGTGCCAGCAGGTGCTACAAGCAATGTGCCAGCAGGTGCTACAAGCAATGTGCCAGCAGGTGCTACAAGTGATGTGCCAACAGAGATCAACCAGATGAAAGTAGAGCCTGAAGAAAAAGATAAGATAAAGAATGTGGTGCCTTACCATGATGCAACATGGACAAGTCCTAAAGGATCCAGACCGGCAGGTGATACACCACAATGTGAGGATGACTTTTTAAAACCGTCAACGGAAGGAATTAAGTTCACAGATCAGTTGACAGCCAACATCTCTCTACAGCACCGACTTCCATCAGGATTAGACCAATCTACAGGTCAGTCAACTGATCGCCAGTTAACAGGTCTGAGTGAACTTGGCTGTAACACCTTCAGTGAAAAGAACGGTGCTAACAATGAACAAGACATTGTATCTATGCGTGTTTCCAGTGATGAAAACTTTTTGATGTCAAGTGACTCTCAGGACAGAAATTTGTATGATGAGATCAAACCATCGAACAACTTGGCCAACAGTACAGGGGCTCTGGATGTTGTTGACCAAATCCAGGAGGAAGGATCTCGACATATTGTTACACCTATTAATCACAACAGGGGTGAGCTAGATAATGTTCTGTCCAGAGAAGGCATTTCTCATCTGAAAGGGGCGGGAGTCCCTGGTGAAGATAGTGGTGCTCAAAATAACAACAGCAGCTTGGTCGACCAGATGCCAATTCAAGGGAAACAAGACATGGTTTTGGGAAAGAAGCAAAAGGAAAATAAGTCAGAAATGGAAGACTCTCTAGAGAACAAACCAACAAATTCTAAAACCTGTTTAAAGGAACATGATATAAATAAAAATCATAACACTGATGATGAGGTTTCTGAAAGTTTAACTAAAGAACAAAATGCTAGAAAGAAAATCATTCAAGTTGAAAATGATCAATCAACAAATCCAGAATTAATTCAAAAACAGTACGTAGACATGAAAGTGGGGCAAACTTTGGTCAGTGTAGAACCAAAGGGACCTGGTCATGAAGAAACTTCAGCATCTGGAGACATTTTAATGAGAGACAATATAATTCAGGACCAAGGCGTCAATGAACAAACAAAACCAGCAAAGTCAAACAGTTTTAGCGTGAAGCAAGGTGGTGAGACTTCAGATTCTCACGCCCCTGGTGTAACACAGCTCCAAGATATCAAAACTGGCCAGCCTTCTGTTATTGTACCCAACCTTGGCTCAAACTTTGACAGCTCGTGCCCATCTCTTGAAGCAGGAAATGATGAAGATATTAGAAGAGAGGGGAACAACTCCAAAAAACAATCCTTATCCCCCGATTCTAAAGTTATCAGTGTTCAAGAGAAACCAATTCCGGACAGCTCACGTGAAGAAGATGTGGTTGATTCACATCATAAAGTCTTTCGAGGAACCACATTAGAGCATTCATCCTCCATGGCAACTGATCGAAGCCTCCATGAGCGTTTTGCTCAAACAGCTGACTTATCACTACATGACCCACTCAGAGACATTCATCTGTCAGCAGATGTTGAGATGCAACCAATGGAAGTAAGTGACGCACACAACTTAAACCTGCCAGTCGGCCAAGGACGACAGAGAACCCCCGTCACTGACCATGATACACTCAAGCCAGGCATGGAGTTCCAAGTGGGTCTATCTGGGTCATCATCGTCTTCCTCGGGGTACCAGTCCGTCTCTGATGACCATTGGTCTGGAGGTGAAAACAAACTGAGGACCCCTGAAGGAGTCAGGGTCGGGCAGGATGGATCGCAACAGCCTCACTGTGTTCAAGTCGTTCACAATGAGGATCATAGCATCACTGACAGAAATGGGGTTGCAGACATGGACAGCTCAAAACAGGGTTCTCAAACTGTTACAGTAGAATCACCTGAATTGTTAATGAAATATGATGATAAGTTGACATCTCAAGATGGTCTATTCAATCTTTTGGGGCAACACAAAGGACTCCATGATGTGTTGAACTCTAGCATCCAATACCAATCATCCCCATGTGTGCCCATGGCCATGGCTGACCAACCCCTCCTTGGTATGACCTTGAACACAACTGACCAAGATCTACCATCCCATGGTATGTCTGTGAACATAACTGACCAGCAACAACTATCATGTGGTGTGTCTCTAAACATGCCTGAACAGCAACAACCAACTCATGTTGCGTCCATACAAACAAAAAGCCAGCAAGTTATCACACTGGGGCGAAGCCCTTTGTTCACAATAAGCATATCTGACAACTTGTCGTCACCTGACCAGATTGTGTCTTCACCTGACCAGAGCGTGTCTTCTCCTGGGCACTGCCCAAGTCTATCAGATCACACTGGTATTCCAGAGACAAAAAGTCCCGATTCACAGGCCGAGCTCGAGCACACAGATTCATCTCTACAAGAAGGTCTTCAGTTTGACCAGGAAACAGAGTCAAGGAAAGACATGGGTGTAATATTTTCAATTCCAGCAGATGGTCTCGGGGCAACACAAACTGAGAACGGGCAGAGCGCACAGGAAATACATCCAGATAATAAAAAGGCTGACGCCAATCAGAAAGAGGCTGACCTAGAAATCCAATGGCACAAACAGTCACCCGGAAGTGAACTTAAGACAGTTGGTAGACTTTCTGAACGTAACCTTAAAAAGGAAAAAGATTCTAAACCATTGGCACGTCAGAACCCAAAAGATGGATCTGAGAAGAACACACAATCCAGACTCGGTTCCAAGCAACCAGATTTTCAAAAACCAAATGCCTTTCAAGGATCTGCAGTGTCGATGGGTCAGCCTGCAACATCCTCACAGTCAAGTGATGGAGTGAGAGATACTGATAGAGACAATGCGATTTCAGATGAGTTAAGAGATAGAGCTCCATCTGAAAATATGGTTTCAGTATCCCATCCAAGTAATGCTAATAACGTTAACGAACTCTTAGGATTTGCTGGGAGAAAAGATCGCCTCAGCTCAGCGTCCGCTCGAAAATTTCAGGTCATAGGTCCCAATACTTTCAAAATTGTGCACCGGGAACAGGCTGAGATAAAGTCTGAACCAGACTCAGGGACTGAAATCTCATCTTCTGAAATGCAAATCTCGGACGATTCACTTGACAATGCCAACACATCGGAACCGGAAGGGGCAGATAACTCTCATACCAAAACCAACCTGGGGGAGATAGCTTCGCATAAAATGACAACAACGGCCATGGGCAGCGAGTCCATCAAACTGTCAGTCAGTCAGCCAAGTGATCCCAGTGTGATGGAAACTGCGCAGCCAGTTGATCCCAGTGTGTTGGCACGGGCTGATTCAATTCACCAGAATGAGATGCTGACAAGCAGGTAAGATTATAAGACACTAACTATAAATGTAATCCAGTAAGGTGATCACAGGTGGCTAGCAAGTTGGTTGTTGTGATTATCCTTATTGTCAGTAAACAGGCGGATGGGTATCACAAAGTTGGCTCGGGGATCACAAGTTAGGCTCTGGTATCACAAAGTGGGCTTGGGTGTCACCAAGTTGGTTCAGGTGTCACAAAGTTGGTTCGGGTGTCACAAAGTTGGTTCGGGTGTCACAAAGTTGGTTCGGGTGTCACAAAGTTAGTTTGGGTGTCACAAAGTTAGTTTGGGTGTCATAAAGTTGGCTTGAGTGTCACAAAGTTGGCTCGGGTGTCACCAAGTTGGCTTATTTCTCTGTCTTGTCTCAGGTCTATATAAGAGAAAAAGAAGGAGGAGGGAGAAGATGAGGGAGAGATAGAGAGAAAAAAAAAGCGAACGAAAATATGAATTTTAATAACAATAGGAAACAACTCTCACATTTTCCTATCGTTCTCTCTGATCAAGAAATCATTTGTGTACAGGAGGGAGCAGGCAGGATTATTGCACATGCACGTCAAATCTACACAAATATTTGGTCCAAATATTTATTGGTCATTGGTTATCTAATAATATCTTTAAAAATCTCCACAGTCTTAATACGTAATATCTGTTCTTTACAAGCACTTTAATTTCAGTTTTAAGAAAATATTATGGACGTTCAATTTAAGTCGTAAGTGCAATTTGTTCTTAGCAGTTAATGGCGGAATAACAGCTAGCGAAATGGGAACACTCTCCCTCCCTCTAACTCTCCTTCCCTAACTTCCTCTATGTCCATCCTCCCTTCCCTATCCTGTTTCTTTCCCTGACACTCTGTTCCTGTCCTTAAATCTCTTCTTCAGTTGTTCCTTTTTTTCTTATTTCCTCTCATCCCCCTCTCCTTTTCTCCGCCCTTTTCTTTCTCTCTCTTTCTTTCTCTTTCTCTCTCTTTCTCTTTCTCTCTCTCTCTCTCTCTCTTTCTCTCTCTTTCTCTCTCTCTTTCTCTCTCTCGTTCTCTCTCTCTCTCGTTCTCTCTCTTTATTTCTCTCTCTCTTTCCCTCTCTCTTTCCCTCTCTCTTTCTCTCTCTCTCTCTCTCTCTCTCTCTCTCTCTCTCTCTCTCTCTCTCTCTCTCTCTCCCCCCCCCTCCCTCCCCCCCCCCCATCTTTCTCTTTCTCTCTCTTTCTCTTTCTCTCTCTCTCTCTCTCTCTTTCTCTCTCTTTCTCTCTCTCTTTCTCTCTCTCGTTCTCTCTCTCTCTCGTTCTCTCTCTTTTTTTCTCTCTCTCTTTCCCTCTCTCTTTCCCTCTCTCTTTCTCTCTCTCTCTCTCTCTCTCTCTCTTTCTCTCTCTCTCTCTCTCTCTCTCTCTCTCTCTCTCTCTCTCTCTCTCTTTTTTTCTCTCTCTCTCTCCCTCTCTCTTTCCCTCTCTCTTTCTCTCTCTCTCTCTCTCTCTCTCTCTCTCTCTCTCTCTCTCTCTCTCTCTCTCTCTAACCACCTGTAACTCGCCCCCCCCCCTTCCATCAAAACATGCCACTTAAATCAAACTGTTGCAATACCCACAAGTGTGTGTTTTGTATCTCTTCTCTTCCAATCGATTTCTTCCAATCAATATGTCGTGTTCACGGAAGCTTTTGCTGACTTAGCAACAAACAGAAAAATCAGCTTGCAGGTTGTAATCAGCAATTGTAGTCATGTATTTCGTCAAATCTCCGAAACATTGAGTGAATACGTCAATTAAGTGAACAAGCGTCTTCTGTTAGTATTGAGTTGATACACACGGGCTATCTTAGACTGGTTTCTTCACTCTGTCAGAGCCGCTCATTCTTTCACGGGGCCCCTACAAAAATCCAAGCATCACCTTTGCAATGCATTTCTATCCACCATTTTGAACACCCCTTTGCACTTCAAAGTAAATAAAATAACATACAATATTTTGGTTACACATTTTTCTGAGCAGATCACGTACAAGAAGTCCAACACAAGCTCTAAGCTCTAGATAAATAATTAAAGGACAGCGTTCAAGCTGTGTGAAGGAAATAGCAGAAAAAAGATTTGTGGAAGCATGAAATAGAAAGACGGGACAATGAAAGAAGAACGTTTCGACTCAGAGCCTTCCTCACCAAATGTTATTTCTTCATTTGTCCTGTCCTTCTATCTCAAGCTTCCACATACCTGGCTCTGCTATGGTCTATTAAGTCAAGCGTTGTTTATCGTGCAGCCTGTCTAAAAGATCAATTTATTTCTTAATGTTAGGTGTCGTGTTTCCTGCGGGACAAAAAATGATATTGTAATTGTTAAAAAAAAGTTCTTGTGCCTAGCTTTGTTTGCCAGTTCGACAAGTCTTCGTGATTGTCTTGCGCTGATTCCTGGCTAATTTGCGTGCAGTTACCTGGAGGTCGGTGCATGTCCCAATCAATGTTGGTGTCAGGCGTCTCTTGATATCGATCATAATTCCTGTGTTTGGTGTTGCGTGGCGTATTCGTATTTTTTCAAAGCGAAACGCTGTTGCATGATTTGAACCATCCGGGTACCGCTAGTCCCACCCCCCTCACCAATCTCTGGACGATCTCTTAAAATAAGATATCCACAGAAGCGCCCCAAAAAATTTCATATCTGTTTGAGTGACCATTATATATTAGAGGTAACAATGTAGCTGAGCATTTAAGATCTTCACCAAGCGACAGCGTCTCATTCTTTGGACGAAATGGAGTTTTTTTCCCGAAAAAAGGCCGCCATGGTAACCGAGGCGTGCTGAGGTTGTTGTTTGGAACGGTACAACGGTACGAACCTTGGCTCCATGGCTTTGGTACGCGTCCGCAAGTGACCACATTTTACCCCCCCCCCTTTTGCTCCGTTAATCCGTACGCCTATTCTACTTTCCCCTTTTTTAAAATTGCTATTCGTAAGTTAACTGCTATCTCTGAATAGCTACTATTTTTATACTATATTTTCAATAAAAACAAGCTAAGCTTTTAATTTTCTCTATTCACCACCCGCGTGCAGCTATAAGCACACACATATTTAGGACGCATTCACTGTTCCAGAAACTCCGATATTGAAAGAAAAAAAATCCGCCTGTCAGTTCTCCACACAAAACCTATCTCTTTGTACCACCAGACCTGGTACGATATATCGATGTCGGTATTCAGTTGGAAGGTCGGCACTAACTCTTGGAGCAATATCGATACGCTCGTCACAGTTGATGATACCGTGACACGCGGCGAATTACCTGCCGGCCCATCGGTGAAATTAGTCCCCCCACCTCGTTGAGA